CCTGCCTAGGCAGGGGGTTGGACTTGAAGACCTCCAACATCCCTTCCAACTCTGCAATTGTATTGTATTCTATTGTAAACTGTGCAAAATGATCACAAGTCACTTTTTCCAGCCACGACGTTATTTTGAATGGTCACTAAACCATCACCATCCTCTTTTAACAACCCCATGATCCCTTGTGGGGTGGAATCTGGGCAACTGAATGGAGCTGAGTGTTTACTGGCCGGATGCCCTTCCTGTCACCAATGCAGAGTTTTGTTCAGCATATATATTCTTATTTGAATGGTCACTAAATGAATCATTGTAATTCAAGGACTACCTGTAACCCATTTAGAAGCTGGGATGCACGATAATTCTACTCGGTTTGCTGCCTCTGACATGGGCCCTCCTTCAGAGTTGCAGTCCATTCTCCACACACATTTGGAGATGACAAAATCTGGGAAATCTGGCCTAAATTTATGGGAGGGAGGCGGCCGAATGAGTGTACAGTTTAGTCAGTAAACCATAATTTACGGTTCCTTCTAATCTTTCGAAACCGCAAAGAAAATTAGCACTCTATGAAAAGCAAAATCCACAACCTTCAATTCTTTCAACCTAGGCTGCCTCAAGGGTTGCTGGAAAATTAAAAGTAAAATGCGATTGATTTTGCCCTTCCAAGATATTTTAAGTCAAGGGGAAAAAAAATGTAATTACTGGCCAGAAGTTCAGCAGGCTGAATAACAATGAAAAAAGACGTGTACCCTAATTTATTTTACTGCAGTTTCTTAGAGTTATTGTTTCTGGTCATTTTAATATTTTTTTTTAAATATAGAATTTATATCAAACACTTTCAACTGGAGAAGTTTTCATTTTTCATTCCAGTTAATTTCTTTTTCATCGAGAAAATATTTTGACAAGTCACAGGCCAAGATGTCTTTAGATCTTGCCGAGCAATATAATGATGGCTCAAAAATTATATTATGAACTTTTCCAAACAATTGTCTATATTCTGTATTGGATTGTTACTCTTATTTTTTTAATTACAACTTCCAATTTGGCGGCCTTATAAACCTAACAAACTATTTTTTTTTCTCATTTAAAATGCTACAAGTTGTTTTTGAAACACAAGTATTGAAATAACAAAAAATCAAGGGACAACTGATGTCTATTTAAGCATCCTTTGTGAAAATGGTTAGGCGTTCAGAAGACACTCCCCAAAACCCACCCAAACGGCTAAACAACTATTGATAAAATTGTCCTAAATACGATGGGGTGCTTCAAAATCTAACCAAAAGCAGCATCTTGGTTTCTTGGTAGTATCAAGCCAGGCGTAGGCAGTTGTTAAGTCTACAAGATAAGACTGACTGCCCAATTAAAATTTAAATTAGGTTTTGGTATGCCTTGGTATCTAGTAATTTCGGCATCATTACTGCCCAACTTCTAATTAAGGCATACTTCCAATCAGAGGCTCCTATTAGATTAACATGAATAACTTTTGAGTTTCTTACTCAAGAAGAGGCGTCTGTTTCTAGCAGATATTAAAGGAGAAACTATTACCTAACACTAGGATCGGTACAAAGGAAAATATTTATTGATCACATTTTTGCCAGTCAGGACTCAAGCCAAGAGGACTATATTCTCGGGGCATCTTCCTTTTTAATAGTCACAACTCCATGAAGCTAGTTGAGTATGTGTGAGAGAGAACAATTATTGTAGGCCAGGTCACCGCCTACATTGGGGAACTGAACTTAATAGAATAACAGAGTTGGGAAGGAAGATAGAGGTAAGGAGAAGATGGAAGGGAGAGAGACAGAAAGAAAGAGGGTGGGAAGGGGAAGAGTAGGAGTAGGAGAGAAGTAAGGGAAGAAAAAAGGGAAAGGAGAGGAGGAGGAAGAAAGTAGAGAAGGGAGGGAGGGAGAAAAGAAAGGGAAAATAAGGTGGTGTCAAAACAGGCAGAAGGGACGGTAAATAAAGCAACCCAAATTGTATACTATAATTTTATAAATGAAATGACAAATGTACAAGAATCACAAATGCAAAGATGGAAAACAACTATGTGAATGTATACCTATAATTGTATGTAAGAGAATTTTTTTTAATAAAAAATTCAGACAAAAAAAAAGAATAACAAAGTTGGAAGGGACTTTGGAGGTCTTCTAGTCCAGTGGTCACCAACTGATGGTCTGTGGACCAATGGTGATCCATGAGAAAATTTTGGTGCTCTGAAGAAAAATTATTTATATTGCACTATTTATCTTTTTAAAAAAATCATACTAGTGGTTCGCAGGATTTAACATTATGAATTTAGTGGTCCCTGAGGTCCGAAAGGTTGGTTCCAGTCCACCCCCACCCCCATTCAAGCAGGACACTTATACCATTTCAGATGGATGATTGTCCAATCTCTTCTTAAAAACCTCCCGTGTTGGAGCATTCAGAACTTCTTAGTTAATTGTTAGGTAGGATAGAAAGAAAACGTCTTTTAATAAAGGGTGATATAATTAAAAGTTCGAATAAGAGATAGGAATAAGGGAAAGGGGGGGATATGAATGTATACATTTGTATATAATAAAATAAGTGCATTAACAAGAGAAAATATGGGCTAATGGAATAATGACAGACTGCAACTTCATATAAATATGTATTGCTATTAGAAATATATAAATTGGTTGAAAGTAATAATGATGATTAATTTTTTGAGTTTTATTTGTATTAGAATGTATTACACCCAGGTGCCACACAGTTCACGCATTGATATGTTTGTAAAAAAAAACACTTTTTATTAGAACTTCTTAGCCAATTGTTCAACAATCCATCATTCCCCCCCCCCCCCCCCCTTTGAGGTCCCCACATATGATAGGCCATACTCTCGTGATCCACAGTCACTCAGCTGGCTGTGGACCATGGAAACTTTGGCACAGTGCATCCTTAGAGATGGAAAAAAAAACCCAATAATAACAAATCTAAGATACCTCCCAGTTTGCCCCATTGAACTGAGACTCACAATCCAGGATCTGATGAGAGTTACGGCTTTAAAAACGTCTATGAATTTTTCTGTCAGAAACGTCTCAAAAGAATTTGAAAGCATACAATGAACCCCATTAATAGAAATGGTGACAGTTCACAAAGATTATTAGGTGCAAATAGGAATACATACTATTTCCATAGCAAGGAAGATTAAAGCAGGGATGGTTAAATTGATTATTTTATTCGAGAAGCAAACTATATTCTTGTTTGGACTTTGTGCTTGTGATTATAAAAAAGGAAACATTGACTTTGGTTTTGTTGATCAGAAATGGCTAGTTATATATTAATGTGTCAAAGCAAAAAGTTGAGGATGGAATGTTTTTAATCTTGTACTGTGCTAAGAAGAGTGGGAAGTCAAAGCCCTTTCTTTCTTTCTTTCTTTCTTTCTTTCTTTCTTTCTTTCTTTCTTTCTTTCTTTTCTTTCTTTCTCTCTCTCTCTTTTTTTCCTGCTTCCTTCCTTTCTCCTCCCTTGTATCTCACAATCCCTTCTCCCCCTCTGTTTCTCTTCCCTTAATTCCCTATTTTATTTATTTGTATTTTATATAATAAAAGAAATAAACATTTGGGAAAAAAAATGTCTATGAATCTCTCCCATCCTTTTTCTACCTCACCGACATCCCAACCAGGACCTGGGCTGCCCCAGTTCAGAGAAACCCCAAACACAAAGAATTAAAGAAAGAAAAATACGCATAAACAGGAGTGAAATATAAACAGAAATCAAAAGAAGAAGAAAAAGTAACAAAAGCGCCAGGAAAATTCTATTCCTACGGCTAATTGGACTTAAGCTTTTAATGTCAGGTTTCTGTTACATTCCTACCACGCCTGGCTTGTCATTAACCTCAGTTCCCGGAAGGGATGTGGCAGCTGTTGCTGACAAACAGCAGGGGACCCCAATTTCCTTGATTCACAAGTGCAGGAAGGGAAAGTCTGCGTTTACAGCTTCTTCATTGAATTATGGCTTCCTCAATTAACCCAGGTTTGGGCCAAAAACATCACCCAGGCAAAGTCTGAGTGAGTCCCTCCTGGATGGCTCCAGAGGCACATGTGAACGCAAGGACATGAGCTTGGCTAACCCGCAACGCCGCAAAAATATGGGAAGAACATGTCCTTTGGGATAGGCGAGGGCTGACACGCAACATACACACACACACACACACATAAACACACACACCATCGACCCGCAGGTCTGACTTAAGCAGAGCACACAAAATTATCTGCTACAATGTCCTACCCGCCAACAACTACTTCAGCTTCAACCACAACAATACACAAGCACACAATAGATACAAACTCAAGATAAAAACTGGATTGCAGAAAATATGCCTTCAGCAACAGAGTGGTCAATGCCTGGAATGCTCTACCTGACTCCCTTCTTACAACCTCAAACCCTCATAGCTTCAACCTCAAACTGTCTACTGTGGACCTCACCCCATTCCTAAGAGATCTGTAAGAGGCGTGCATAAGCGCACCAGTGTGCCTACCATCCCTGTCCTCATATTCCCTTGTATTCGTATCCTTTTCATGTATTCAAAATCATGGTTATACTTATATCTGTTATCTAATTCATGCTTGGCGAAATAAAATAAATAAATAAAAATAAAATAAAAATAAATAAGTAAATAAAAATAAAATAAAAATAAATAAATAAATAAAATAAAAAAAAATAAAATACCCCCCCCCCCCTTCTTCATTGACCTATGGCTTCCTCAATTAACCCAGGTTTGGCCCAACAGCATCACGCAGGCAAAGTTCGAGGGAGTCCCTCCTGGAACGGCTCTGCGGAACGCAGCCCGAGGCACGTGGGAACATAAGGATACGAGTTTGGCTAACCCACAACTCGGGAAAAAGAAGCAGGTGGTCCTTCGGGACAAGCGAGGGGTGACACGCAACACATACACACACAAGCCACCGACCCGCAAGTCTTAGAAGAAAGTTAAGAGACTAAGAGCAGAGAAGGGGGGGGTGTTTTGGGGGGCAGTTTGGTTGCCCTCCCCGCGTCCGGCGCCTCTGGGCCCTCGCTTTGCCCGCTAACACCTGTCCGCGCCTTCCCACGGGGCTCCCAGGGAGGCTTCCCAGCCGGCTCACCTTGACGCGGTGCACGGCGAAGTCCCCCTGGGGAGGCAGCTGCCCCCAGACGGCGATGCCTTCCCGGTTGTAGCGGCTGAGCCAGCCCAGCTCCGTTTCGCACTCCGCCTGGAAGGCGCGGAAGGCGGCTTCGTCGGGGAGCCGGACGGGCTCCATGCGGGCGCCCCGTCTCGGCCTCCCAGGTGCGCCCAGGTGGGAGGCAGAGCCAGCGGCAGGGCGGGCGGGGCGAGGCAGGTGCGGCGCTGGGGCAGGGGGCGAAACAGCAGCAGCAGCAGCAGCAGCGCCGAGGCTTCCCCAGCTGCCCAGGACGACTGCCAGGCTCCCAGCACAGCGGCCGGGGCCGACGGAGCGCACGGCGGGCAGGTGAGGCGCTGCCGCTTGTGCCGCAGCCGCCGATTGGCCGCGCCCGGGACCAGCGCCCGCTTGCCTGGCCGCCCGCCTCCGCCTCCGCCGCCTCCTCCTGCCGGGCCTCCTCGGCTGGGAAGGCGCTGCTCTCCGCCCCCGCGCCGCCCGAGGTTTCCAAGGCCGGCCGGGAAAAGGGGTCCGGCCAGGACTGTTGAGACGCCGGCCGCTGCGCCGGGTGCGTTCCGGGATGGAAGCCCCGGGCGGAGCCCCCGATTGCAACCGCCCCGCGCGTGACGGAGGGAGGGAGGGAAGGAGAGAGGAAGAGGAAGAGAGGAGGGAAGAAAGGAGGAAGAGAGGGAGGAAGAGAAAGGGGGAGGAAGAGGAAGAGGGGGGAAAGAGGAAGAGAGGGAGGAAGAGAAAGGGGAAGAAAGGAAGAGGGGGAGGAAAGGAGGAAGAGAAAGGGGGTGGAAGAGGAGAAGGAGGGCGGAAGAAAGAAGGAGGAAGTGGGGGAAAGAGGAAGAGGGGGAGGAAAGGAGGAAGAGAGGGAAAAAGTTAAGTGAGTTTTACCCCACTTTATGACTTCTTTTGCCACTGCTGTTAAGTGAATCGTTGCAATTGTGACTTTAGTGAATGTTTGTTAAGTGAATCTGGCTTCCCCACTGACATCAGAAGTTCACAAAAGGGGATCACGTAACCCTGGGACACTGCAACCGTCATAACTATGAACCAGTTGCCAAGCGTCTGAAATGTGATCCCATATCCGTGGAGATGCCGCAACGGTCATAAGTGTGAAAAACAGTCGTCAGTCACTTTTTTTCAGTACTGTTGTAACTTTGGTCACTAAATGAATTGTTGTGAGGGGAGGGCTGCCTGTTTTGAGAAAGAGAGAGTAGAATAGACTATTTTATTTGGATAGGTGTGGTTAGACACACAAAAACATTGCAAAAAAGAGAAAATAAATAAGTTTTAAAAAAAAGAGAAAGAAAAACGTCCTTAGTCACCTGCAGTTTCTTGCCTGCCTCTAAAATATTTCTTGGGGTTTTTTTGAGAGCCAAAGGGGGGAGGGGAAGTGAAAAACTCCAGGTTCCCCCCCTCCCCTGCAACTCTCCACTGGGGCTACGAAGCACATGGACTTTTTTTAAAAATGCACCCTGCTTATGCATCGTCTGGTTTCGCCGTCCACACTCGTCACGGTGCCGTAAAAGCAAATGCAAGTTGTGATTTAAAAAGCCATAAAAGTCCACCCGCCACTCCAGAGACTGAGAACGTGGGCGTGAGAAAGACCAACCACCACCAAACCAGGCAGGCTAGACACGTTTTGCAAAAGGTCGAAAATAGTTCCACCTGCCGTTGAGAGGGGAGGAGTTTTTGCTAGAAATTTAATTCCAAGATTTTATTCCTCTTGGAGTTGCTCCAGGCGGGAGGAGGAGGGCTGTGTGTAAACGAGGCGGAGCTGTGGGGTTCTCTTGTAGAAAAGCTCTTTTTGGAGCAGCTTTTCCTTGGAGCCAAGGGCTTTTCTGGCGGAAGAGAAAAGGCCACACAGAGAACATGTACAAAGGCAGAGTCCCAGAGGGGGGAGGTTCTGCTTGGGGGAATTTAACCCTTCTGCACGGTGAGCGCAGGCACACATTTCCTTGGGAAGGCCAGGCCAATTTCCTAACTGCTTCTCCATTGACTAGATGGAAGTTGCAGGGAATTGGCAGCAGAGGGTAAGAGATTATAGGCTCGTGATGGGGAGCCTACGGCACAAGTGCCAGAGGTAGCATGCAGAGCAATCTCTGTGGGTGCCTGCACCATTGCCAGCTGCTCTTTTGGTTTCTGGCTGGTTTTCGCAGGCACTGGAGCACCAGAAAGCGACCCAAAAATGACCTGGAAAAAGCCCCCAAACTAGCTTGTTTTTCAGGTACTTTTCAGGATGGTTTTTTGGCCATTTTTTTGGCCAAAAACAGCCTGAAAAACAGGCATGCATGTGCCAGCTGGCTGGTCTTTGGGTTTCTGGCACTTGCATTTGGGCACTTGGTGCCGAAAAGGTTCAATATCACTCTTATAGGCAGTATTTTTCAACCTTGGCCACTTTGGATTTTAGCTCCCAGAAATCCCCAGCCAAGAATTTTGGGAGTTGAAGTCCACAAGGTTTAAAAGTGGCTTGAGGTTGAGAAACTGCCATAATATGGTAGACCAAATTATATATAAAAGCCTTGGGTCAGTACTGAGCCAGGAATCCGAGCTTTAAACGGATGCCATGCACGGACCAAATTCTGGATGTCTCTAAATGAAACGATGAATCCCTTAAAAATTAGCTTTATCTGCTAGTGATGGACTGATCAATAAATCCAATGACAGATTATACTAGAAGATGCTCCATCGATGGATCTCTCCGCTCTGGACCTCTCCTTGGGCACATTTGCCCAAGAGATGGGTGATGGGTATCGTCAAATATGACATTGCTGTGTAATTTAAATTAACCCCAAGCTTTGTCATGGTGTTTTCCAGTTTTTAAGCTTCAAAGACACATTTCTAGTATTGCAGTTCATTTGCTTGAAAACACCCTTGTTATTGAGATCACGAGCCCTTTGTATAACCTTGGAAAAGGGATAATACAAAACTCTCCTGAATAATAAAAGGAGAAATAAGGTAAGCCTGCCAGGAATTCACACCATCACTGGGTTGTTTTTTAACACATACATACAGAATACCATGGCTGTGCAAGTTTTCATTTGTCTGTTCTTCAATTTTTGCCTGGTCCAACAAACCTAATTGTTCAATTACAGATTTTATACATTTGGCCAAACTTATTTTACTACATTTGGCTGCCCTGTTGAGATAATTCACATTAATGCTTTAATTGCACACATCTGATAGGCCAGCCAAACTTTTGATAGTGGCAAACTCTGGGGGAATAACACAGGATTATAAAGTTGTTCAAACCATTTTTTCTGCCTATTGAGATGCAAACACATCACACAACATTTATCCAAACTCTTGTGTGGAACCCCAAAAGCAAAAAAGGCACCCAGGGCAAGTTATACCAGATCCTCTTGAAAGCTATAAATTATCTTCTTTGACGAGCGAAAGGCCACATCTGTCTGTTTATTCCAAGCCTCTCCCATCTAAAATTGCAGTTACAGTGGATTATGAATTTGCAGTTCGCTGTTACGGGGCCTCCAGATAAAAAAGGAGATACAATCATATTTTTGTTCACTTGCACCGCTGCTGGGAAATCAACTTTCACATTAACCACAAAGGAGATGAGGGAACTGAGACTACTACTGGTAGCCCAGTGCACAAAGAAAAATGGATATTCCGGGGGGTGAGGGGGAAAAGTTAATGTTGGATTTTATCCTGCATGGTTTATTCAATCTATTATCAGATAGTGGTGTAAATTTTCCAAGGGTATCCAGTTTACAGCTCTGAAGCTACAGGGAACTACCTAGCCTCAAAACCTGCGAGAGGATGAAGTATTAAAAAAATGTTGCTTATGGCACAGAATATTTGTAGCTCGGGATTGAGTAGTGGGCTCCTTGGTGCTCTCTGGGTTTGGTTGTTTTCTTGTTTTTACCACTAGATTTGCTTGATCTGCAAGAAACAAACAAGGTCAGAGAGCATCAAGGAAGGTTCCCCTTGCACATGTGCTAGTTGTTCCCGACTCTAGGGGGCGGTGCTCATCTCCATTTCACAGCCGAAGAGCCAGCGCTGTCTGAAGACGTCTCTGGTCATGTGGCCGGCATGGCTAAACGCCGAAGGCACACAGAACGCTGTTATTACCTTCCCACCAAAGGTGTTTTCTATTTGTTTTCTTGCAATTTTTACGTGCTTTCGAACTTCTAGGTTGACAGAAGCTGGGAGAAGTAACGGGAGCTCACTCCATTATGCAACACTAGGGATTTGAACCACCAAACTGCCAACCTTTCTGATCAAGCTCCGCGTCTTAGGCACTGAGCCACCACGTCCCTATTTCTCCATTTAGCTTCTATTAAAAAGTGGGCATGAAAACTGCCCGTTGACCTTTTAATAAATGTTATGACCTGAAAAAAAAAAAAAAAAAGAACTACTGCAGACCCAATGTACCTTTTTCTCTTTTAATATGTGCTTGGCAGCCTCTTCACCGAAAGTTGGAAGCAAGCATTACCCGATTTGCGTGACCCGTCAAAACTGCGGCAGACTAAAGCGCGCCCGATTAAAGCGCATACGTGACGTCATCAGCAGCGCGACAAATAGGACCGCGGAGAAAAAAGGGGGCTTTAAAAAGCGCTTTTAAAGCAAGCCGATTCACATAAAGGTAAGGGTTAGGTTTAGGGTTAGGTTAAGGGTTAGCGTTAGGTTTAGCGTTAGGTTAAGGGTTAGGCTTAGGTTTAGGGTTAGGTTAAGGGTTAGCGTTAGGTTTAGCGTTAGGTTAAGGGTTAGGCTTAGGTTTAGGGTTAGGTTAAGGG